AGGAAGACCAGGGAGCCCAAGGAGGAGAACGTTACCCTTGGACCCACTGTCCGTGAAGGAGAGTTTGTCTTTGGTGTTGCTCACATCTTTGCATCCTTCAATGACACCTTCATTGTAAGTGCCGATTCTGTTTTATTTGCAATCCTAGAAAATTACATTGATTGCTGATTCTGTTTTGTATGGAGAGTGTGTATTTCCATATTTCATTTGCAATCTTAGAAATCAACATTGATTGCTGATTCTGTTTTTATTAAATCTGTATTCTTAGTCATCTGCAGTGCAATCGGGTAAAAAGATCATGCAATATGGGAATTCATTGGATAGCGGAGAAAGTAACTGCCTGATAACTCGCCTTCTTGGTCAGTTGCAGTTCTTCCAACATTCTTTGTTCAAATCCATACCTATCTGAGGACCTTATGGCATCACTTTCTCTTTTTTTCTTGAACACTATTTGGTGCCTGTGTAGCATTAGTTTCTGTTCTGAGAAAACAATGTTCTTCCATGATAGATATTGTGCTTTATGTTTGCGAAAGAGGTTGAGGGTGGTATGGTATTCCAGCTGTTAGAAGACCTAACTGAAATGTCAACAATCAAAGACTGCAAAGATATCTTTGGGTATATTGAGAGCCAACAAGATATACTGGGGAAGGTAATTGTGATCCTTATTCTGTTTAGTTAGTTCTGGTTAAGTACAAAAGATGCATGTTTGTAACTTTGCTGATCGATTATCGTTTTAGGTTGTTTGTAGCAAGAACTTTTTGGACGTGGAAAACTAGTTATGCTAAGGACTTGCAACCAACTTCTTCGCAGACTATCGAAGGTTAGGTTCAGTTGTTTTGTTGTGTCTACTCTTTGAAGTTTAGATTTACTGTTGTTCCCACATTTAATCTTGGTTAAGTGGCCATTTTGTTAGCCAGCTGATTACCCTTAGTTATCATGTATGTAAAAAGTAATACCCCCACCCCCCAAAAAAAAACACTAAGAGGAACTATGTGCCATTGCCAATAAGGAGAACTAGACACCAAAATTGAAGTAAAAAAGGACACGAACCTGGGTGGTAGGCGTACCAACTGAGCTCGGCTCAGTTCCTAGGACATTTCCATTTTCGTTCGTTCAAAAGAAAGGCTTTGTGTTCGAGAAAAAAGAAAGGCTTTGCTTTCCATTTGTGGTTAGTGTTTGCAGCCTGTACACAAGCAATATGTCATCTCATCTGGTGCTGCTGTTTATGCAGGTGGAGACAATTAGGCTTACCGAGTCATTGTCTTGTACATTCTCAAGAATTGCTGCGGTGTGTCTTGTTCTCTCTTGTGTTACTTGCATCTAGCGAAGATTGGTTTTCACAATACTTTTCATATACCTATGCGCAGTCTCATAGTTTAAATGAACAGCAAGCACAATAATTTGCACCGTGTATTGTCATGGAATATTTGTTATAATCTAGTATAAATAAATGTTCTGGTCGAATTTGAATTGTAAATTTATTTTTTTTGGCGGAAAAATGATTTGTAGGAGCCGTTGGTACTGTAGCCGCCCCTACAAATCGATTTGTAGGGGCGGCTGGTGTTCCCAGACCGCCTCTATAAATCGATTTGTAGGGGCGGCTACAGTACCAACCGCCCCTACAAATCGATTTGTACGGGCGGTCACTACCGGAAACCGGCGATTTGCCGAGTGCCGAGGCTTTGCCGAGTGTATTTTATCGGGCACTCGGCAAAGACCGTGTTTGCCGAGTGCCAAATAAAATACACTCGGCAAACAAAAACACACGGCAAAATACGTCTTTGCCGAGTGTTTTTTTCTGGCACTCGGCAAAGATGTATTTTGCCGAGTGCCTTTGTTTTGGCACTCGGCAAAGAAGCTTTTTGCCGTGTGCATTTTTTTTTGCCCTCGGCAAATCATTTTTTCGAAGCAATTTTTGAGGCCCTAAATTAAGTCAAATGAAAAACTTTTCAACTACAAAGTTGTATAACTTCTCAAGATCTACAAAGTTTATTTTGGTCATTTCTTCATTTGACAAAGCGACAATAACGTTGTTCATAAAATTTACATCTCTCATATTAGTTTCATGAAAGTAGAAGATACATATATAAGATTTGTGAACAATGTTACTACCACTATGTCGGATGAACAAATGACCAAAATAAACTTTGTAGATCTTGATAAGTTATGAAATTTTGTAGTTGGCAACATTTTGATTTGAAATCATCTTGTCATGCAAAAACGACGTTTGAATTTGAAATTTTTAAAATTTGAATTTTTCAAACGACCTCGGATGAAAAAACTTCCTAAATGAAAATTGTAGATCTCCAAAAGTTATGAAACTATGTAGTTGACAACTTTTTGATTTGAAATCATCTTATCATGCAAAACTATGTTTGAATCTCTCAAATTTAAAATTCAAATTTTTCAAACGACCTCGCATGGAAAAACTTACTAAATGAAAATTGTAGATCTCAAAAAGTTATGAAACTTTGTAGTTGACCACTTTTTGATTTGAATTCATTTAGGGCCTCAAACAAGCAATTTACTCTCAGTTTGCCGAGTGTTTTTTTTCTAGCACTCGGCAAAGCCGTATTTTGCCGAGTGCCTATGTTTTGGCACTCGGCAAAGAGGTATTTTGCCGTGTGTATTTTTTTGGCCCTCGGCAAATCAGTTTTTCGAATCAATTTTTGAGGCCCTAAATGAATTCAAATGAAAAACTTTTCAACTACAAAGTTGTATAACTTCTCAAGATCTACAAAGTTTATTTTGGTCATTTCTTTATTTGACAAAGCGACAATAACGTTGTTCATAAAATATACATCTCTCATATTAATTTCATGAAAAATAGAAGAGAGATATATATAATTTGTGAACAATGTTACTACCACTATGTCGGATGAAAAAATGACCAAAATAAACTTTGTAGATCTTGAGAAGTTATGAAATTTTGTAGTTGGCAACATTTTGATTTGAAATCATTTTTCATGCAAAAACGACGTTTGAATTTGAAAATTTGAATTTTTCAAACGACCTCGGATGAAAAAACTTCCTAAATGAAAATTGTAGATCTCCAAAAGTTATGAAACTATGTAGTTGACAACTTTTTGATTTGAAATCATCTTATCATGCAAAACTACGTTTGAATCTCTCAAATTTAAAATTCAAAATTTTCAAACGACCTCGGATGGAAAAACTTACTAAATGAAAATTGTAGATCTCAAAAAGTTATGAAACTTTGTAGTTGACCACTTTTTGATTTGAATTCATTTAGGGCCTCAAATAAGCAATTTACACTCGGTTTAGTATAATATATTGGGAACTAAAACGGAATCTAGACACAAAGTAACGGTGTGGTGTAGTGGTAGAGGAGGTTGGTGCGCAGTGAGAGGTCTTGGGTTCGAATCCCGTCGGTCACAGAGCCGTGAAATTTGAAAAAAGCCGGAGATGGATGGGCGCCTGACGGTGGGGGCCTCCACCAATTAAAAAATTTCCATTTTTTTGGGTAAAAATTCTCATTTTTTTCGGTTTTTTTCGGTTCCAACTTTGTTGAGTGTCGGCACTTTCGGCAAAGGCTTTGCGAAAGTGCCCGATAAAGACACTCGGCAAAGACGTCTTTGCCGACTCTTTTTTTGCCGAGTGCTCTTTGCCGAGTGCAGCACTCGGCAAAGCCTTTGCCGAGTGCAAATTGGGCTTTGCCGAGTGCCCCTGGCACTCGGCAAATTCACTGAGTCCCGTAGTGGGTCTGGGAACCGCCCCTACAAATACATGATTTGTAGAGACCCTTGCATAGGGGCGGCTGGGCAAACCGCCCCTACAAACAGTATTCACCCGCCCCTACAAAACCTTTTTTACGTAGTGTCTTCCACAACCATCTGAAGGCATCATGGATCTGAGAATGTCTTGAGAGTTTGCTCTCTCTAATAAGTTTGCTCCTGACCAAATGCTCGAAACCAAATTCCAAGCTAAATTGTGAGCTACACAGCCAAATCTTAACCCTCACACAACAATAAAGGACTTTTGGAACTCATTGTTGCTTGCAGTATATAAACTAAAGAAACTAAAAGGTACGGGTAGAAACAGAAATGGACAAGGGTATATAGCAGAAAGACTGATATATATATATGGCAAAAAATGTTTTGGTTTGCATACTTATAAAGAGCAACGACGTTCACATAACATAATATAGTAACACATCAGAATTAATGACAAAAACCGATCATGAACCACTCGTTATCTTTTTGAAAAGCACAAGATCGTCCGCAAAACAATGCAACTTAACGATTCAATTGTTTCTTGCTGTCCAATACACCAGTCCATTAAGATTATTGCATTCATGAAGAAAAGGGACTTAAATTGATCTCTTTTTATTGTTTTCAGAGCCTCTAAAACACTGCAGTTATTAGGGTATTGCAAATTAATTTAGCAGTCTAAAATATGTTTTTTTTAGCAAAATCACAGTCTAGAAAGAGTTGGTCTAGAGTCTCTTCATTACCGTGGAGACATAAAACACAGTTGTAACTTTCCGGATGCATATCCTTTCTTCTTAGAATATTACTTATACTTAGCCTATCTTTAAGAAGAACAAAAAGAACACTTAATGCTTAGGCGGGTGAAAGCTTTTCCACATGAATCTGAGAATGTCCTGAGAGAGAGATTCCACACATCTTATAGAAACCTAATCCCTATAATAAGTTTGCTCCTGAACAAATCTTATAGAAACCTAATCCCAAGCTAAACGTTGATGTACACAGCCAAATCTTAACTATCACCACAACAATAATGGACTTTTAGAACTCATTCTTGCATGCAGTATAAATTACATGGGAATTCCTTGAGTATGTTATAGATAGACAGATACTCTCATAGATCACAAAAATGTTATGATTTGCATATAGTTTATAAAGAGCAAAGACGTTCACATAAACTATCATGAACCACTCATTATCTTTTTGGAAATCACAAGACCTCCCGCAATGCATTGCAAATTAAACCTGCTGCTGCTGTCTACTCTAGAGAGTCTACCTGCCAAGAAAGATAGCGCCTAGTAAATACGCGACTATGGTCAACTCATGATCATCAGAGACCTTTTTGAACAACGGCCAGCTTTGGTACTGGTTCGGCAGCCGCAGCAGTCCATCCTGGCAGGAACGGACGCCGACCTCGGAGTCGATGTACTCCTGCCTGGAGAGCGAGAAGTCGCAGGCGAACATCTGGTCCGAGACACCGGCCATGAGGCGCCGCGCCGAGCCGTACTTCACCTTGCAGTTGTCCAACGCCGCCCGCGACTCGGCGGGGGCGTTCCCGGGCCGCAGCAACGTGTCCACCTCCGACAAGGTGTTCTCGTACCTGAGCTTGGCCAGCCTCGTCGCGATGAGCGCGTACACGGTCACCTCTGCGGTGTCCGGCGCGGTACCCTGGAGCGTCTGCTGGCACAGCTTCTCCCACCTGTCCGTCTGCTGGCACGCCGCGGTCCATGTCATGGAGGCGACGTTGTTGCAGGCCTCGCCGCCGGCGAACAAGGCGGTGAGAGACACTACTGCGAACACTGCTGCAGCGATGTAGGCCATCTTGAATTCTTGGCTGCTTTTCTCTTTCTTCTTTCTTTTGATCTTTTCTTTTGCAAGGCTTTGGGCTGATGTTGAAACTAAGCACTGTGGGACCTATAAATATATGTGTTGTTCCCTCAAAAAAAAAAATATGTGTTGCTCCGGGCTCTTCTTGATTAGAAGGCAACAAATTACTCATGCTTTGATTTCGCATGCATGATATGATTCCAAAAATGGTGCTATATATATGGAGAGTTATGCCTTGTACTATTTATTAAGAAAGGAAACATTATTTGCCAATTCTGCAATTAACAAATATGATGTCTTTAGGCTTATGTCTTTCCTAGCTTGATCCTAATTATAAGTGCCGTTATAGAAGTATATCTTTTACAACCCACATTTATACGGAGAATTAAAACATGATTGTACTCCACCAAACATTGGATTTAGTTTTGCTGAGGTTATATGTCAGAAACCAGTATATGTACACCCTATGTCCAATAGTAAATACAACAAGCGACACTAGCGCCCAGATGTCCGAACAAACACCCGCGCCTGATGCACGCCCACCATCTCGCGCCTTCACTCGCAAAAGTGGGTCCGCCCGTGCCGCTCTGTTTCCCGTGCGTATGCATGTGGGGACCGCCCGTGGCCGCTCGGCTTTCCGCGCGCACACTGGGACCGCCTGCACCCGCTCCTTATCAGGCATGTCGGGACTGCCTGCTCCTGCGCCCGCTTCCTACACCTGATCATGAAACATTTTTTTTGAGAATTACACAGTACAACGTAGACGTCCACAACACGCACGCACACTCACCCCTATGAACACATGGACGCAAACCCTACCCCTACGAGCACCTTCGAAGGACTGAGCCGGCAGATCTTGAGATTTACGAAGTCACCACAGGCGCCTGGCTGTCGACAGGACGTCGTCTACCATTGAAAGCATAGCGCTGTTAAATCCTGGAATAAATCCAGAAAAATGTGAGCACCCATGTTAAGTCGAGGACTTGAACCCAGGTGGGCAGGTTCCACCACAAAGAACCCAACCAACGGCTGCAACATACTTCTAAAACAGATGATGAGACATTTAGAGCATACACTTGCAACATATGTGTATAACCACTGCAACATATGCAACATCTAGATAAAACACTTGTAACATACGTTTGAAGTAGATAAAATATTTTGAATAGACACTTGCAACATATGTGTAGCTATTGCAACACATGCGACATCCGGATCTACTTTTGCAATATCCATATGAAACACTTACAACATATCTCTGAAACATCTAAAAATACTTTGCAACATACGCTTTTAGCGCAACATGGTAGAGTGCCGTGGCGAACTGGTGCGGTGGAGGCGGCCGCGACATGCAGAGGATGAGTGTGGGTGAGCGGTGTGGCGAATTGCCACGGTGGAGGCGGCCCTGCGAAACGAGTCCGGATGGGCAGGTGGCACGATGGAGGCAGCCGCGGCCGTGACAAGCGGATGGAGAATCTGTGCAGCGATGGGCGAGGCACGCGACGGGTGGGAGCGAGCGGCACGGGCGGAGCGAGCCGTCTGGATGGACGGACACCCTAATAACATTCTACACAAACATGGAATAGTCTTCTAATGCGGAAGCTAATCATGAGTGCGTGTAAATGATAGCTGCCAAATTCAAGAGATATCCTTCAGAAAAGAAAAGGAGATAAGGGTACATGCGCCTTTTGCTAACATCCTTTAATCTATCCCAAATTTTTTAGATACATATTTATTTTGGGACGAAGAAGTACTCAAGACAAGACAAGCATCTATGACTTTGTACTCAAGACAAGACAAGCGTTTATGACTTTGTACGTCCATCCCATTTCGTCAGTGATCAACGGCCCTGTGCCCTTATATAAATATAAGACTAGCGTGAGTTCCCACGCTTCGCGTGGGAAGGGAAAAAAAAGGGCTGGTACTGTTCCTTATCGGGTTAGGTACTGTTCGTCGCGGATCCAATACTGTTCATCACGGACCCGAAACCTGGTACTGCTGACCTACAGTGATCTGAGTCTTGTGGCGCGTCGGATGCCTCAAACTTAAAGTTCTTATATATATAGATAGATTCATCCTCAAGTGGAACTAAATATATACGGATAAGAACTGTGTAGTGTCATGTCTTTGTTAGAGTTGTAACAAATAGGCAATTTATTGTTTATGATTATTTCATATATCCTGGGTGTGTAGTGTCATGTCTTTGTTATCTTGGCTTGATTTGAATTCAAGGAAGGAAGTGGGTTTGGGAATTCAAAGCAAATAGTTTTGGTGCCACAAATTAATTCTAGAAAACACACAAGCACTCAAACACTCATAATGCATATGGTGAATTTTAATACAAGGTTTTTGGAAAAAGATTTTCAAAACGGTTTTACCGAAAAATAAACTAACCGAGTTTTAATTTGTTGTAAAATTTTAAAAGTTCAAATTTTTAGTGAAGTTTAATATGAGAAAAAACACAAGGTGTTACACTGGTCTTAGTTTATGCCACGGAAGCATCAAAGCAAAAATGCAATCATCACAGTTTAATCTTCACGGCTATAAGAAAACAAAATTTTTTCTAAAAGTTAATTAACCTGAAACGTTCTGATGTGCTAGCGCTAATTACTTTTGTGCAAAATTTGTTTTATAAAGTCTTGTTCCTGTAGAATAAAAATCAAAGTGTTCTGTCTTATGATGACTTAAAAAACCTATGATTGGACAAGACCTTTTTTCTTTAGAAAAAAGGAATAATTGCGGCCTCAACAAAGGTGCACAACCAACTCTTACAAGGTTTTCCAACATAAATGATGATTATCAAATAAAGGGAAAGAGCACAGTTTAGAATGAAAATTATAAGCAAATAAAGGACAAGACCTGACGCTATTGATGTTGTGCCCTTTTGGCCTCTTCTTGAGGACTAGCTCTCTTGCTTGGTTGTGTCGAGTATTTGACCATGTATTTTGGGAACCAAGCCTTGCTTCTTCTTGTGTTGGGACACGGATATATGAGCTGCGGAGGCTGCGCAGCACCCTAACCAAAAAGGACTGATATTCTGAATCGCATGAGTGATGATATGCAGGAATCACAAGAACCTTCGCCCATGCCCCTCCAGAGAGGCGAAGGCTCCAGGGGCAACGGCGAAGGTCCCAGGAGGCGTTGGCCCGAAGGCGCAAGGACGGCGGTGGAGGCCCCCGCGGGTGGTGCGGGCTTAGAGCGGCGTGAAGGCGGAGGTCGTCTAGGCGGAGGCTCCAAGAACCTGTGAGGACCTCCACCGATTGAAGAAGGGATTCCCACGGCGCAAAGGTCCCAAGCCAAAGATGGGCCTCCAATGAGCCTGCCACTAAGGCCTATGAAGCAATGGTGGTGGAAGTAGAGAAGACCCAAGATGTCCCCAGTAGAATAAACTTATACGGGAATATCCATAGGAATATGCCTTAGCTGTCAAAGGGCAAAATTGTAAAGCAGTATCCCTGTGAATAGTGCCCTATAAAAGGGGAACCAAAACCAATGTAAAAAGAGAGGAACACCATTTATGAAACCCTAATTGTCTTGTGGTCCCACTTGTGAGCTTCTTACTGAGCACGCCTTCGCCTGAGCGAAGACCTCGTCCTACCTCACCCCGCTGGGAAGCAGTTTCCCAACATTGGCGCCCACCGCGTGTAGGCCAAGCAAAACCCACGATGGCACGAAAAAGAGCAGCCACCGCTAGTGTGCTGGTGGAGACAACAACCAGGGGAAGGGCTAAGCGTACCACTCGCAGCACATACGCCTGCGCTCCTGATACTTAGGTCAATACAGAAGAGCATGCAGTGGATGATCAGCCTATAGCTAGCGAGGAGCAGCCAAATCCCGACCCCACCCCAGAGCAGGTGCTCCAGCAATTGCAAGCCCAGCTGTAGAATGCGCAGCAAGAAAGAGACACGCTAGCGGCAACCTTCGCCACAAGTCAGAGGGCAGTACAAGCATCATTACGAATCAGGCAACAGCTAGACATCGTACAAGCTGAGATACGGAGTCTGCAACCAAGTCAACCATAATTGGCTAGCCATCTCTCTGGCTTGGTTGTGTCGAGTCTTTGACCATGTATTTTGGGAACCAAGCTTTGCATCTTCTTGATTGTGTCCAGCCATTGCCCATGGCATTGTGGATCGAGTTTTCTCATTTCAACGGACCTTGTTCTTTGCTTTTCACCGGCTTTTGGTCATTTGGATGAGTTCACACTTTTCTTTTCCTTTTGATTCATATCTTTGTGTCGGTGTTGACAATGCACTTATCAAAGGGAGATTTGGTTGATATGTGCTCATGTGTGAGTGATGAGTGATTGTCCAGAGGTGATCAGAACTTTAGTTAAGTGCGCATGAGACTAACCATGGCGTGAGTTGTGTGTGCAACATGTCTCTTGTTTTTTTGATGTGAAGGTGTTGAGCGTGAGACGGTCAACGGCAATGGAGAAGGTCAAGCGAGGAGCTTGTGCGGGATGGACCGGGAGCGGTGAAGAGAGGACACAAAGGCTTGGACCGAGGGACCAAAGGCCGAAGGATGGACCGTGGACAAGCAAGCATACATGTGAGGATGGTGATGGAGACGGTACTGACCGAAGTCAAGACAATGATCAGACGAAGTCAAGGCGGGCACGTGAGCATTTGTGCATCGGGCAGTCGAGAACGAGTGGGGCACACGTCGAGATCGTGGAGAAGGCATAGCAGCTACCTAACTCAAAGTGGGTTTGGCGGCTTAGGCCTCAAAACCGTGGGCGGTAGGTTTGCCGGGTTTGGACCTCAAAACCCGGGGAGGATCTCGGGGCGGCACGTGGCATCATCGGAGAGCTTGCGTCGCGACTTTATAAGGGACCTGCAGCCATATGATTCTTGAAAACCAAAATGTAACATTTCGCCCCGGTGGCTACGTGGTTCAAAACTAATTCTAGGGGCACTCTTGGAATTGTTAAATAGCTGTATAAATAAGGATACTGGCTGCCTATCTCTTTCACTCCTAGTTTATTTCCATCG